CCCGGTTCTCCAATTCAATTCCTTGCAGGAAGAGATTGCGGGACCGGGGGAAGAGAGTAGGGGGAGAGGGCGAATCTTCTTAACCTGTTCTGGCAAAGGAATTCCTGCGATTCCACTCTTCATTGTGAGAAATTACTTCAGGGCTCTCAGAAGAAGACGACCGCAGCATATCAAAGCAGCAGACTCCATTATGAAGAGCTCATTTACGACCAACTTTTTACATTTCTGCGAAACCATAGCCGATTTCCTTCCGAAGCGCGATCTTTGGCGCTTAACAAGTTCATAGCCTTTTGGTGAGTCCCACGAAAAAATTTACTGATTTTCTATTTTTCCTCGTTCGGAATGAAGGAAAAGAGAGATGCGAACACAACCTCTCTCAGTGAATGTAGCTCGAAGACAGTGGTAAGAGATAATAAAAAAGATCAATTAGAAAAAAGTCACCGGATGCATTCAAAACCCTACGAATCGGAAAACTCACATAAGCTTTCCTTAACTTCGATGACTCCGAAGACAATTTCTCCTCGTACTTGTTTTCAATGTCTTTAAACCTTTGTTCCAGTTGTTTCTTCCTGAAATTTGTATTGCAAATTAATAATTCAGTCTTCTAAGTCTTTTCTGAACAATCTGATTGATACGCAGAAGCGCAGCGACGTTTACAGAAGAGGCAGTCTAATCATGTGCCTGGTAGCTGGTGTAAAAATCGCTTAAATGTGGAACAAATCGCAACAAATTCGACTGAAGCACAAATGCAATGCAAATTTTCAAGAATTTGTAGGAAGCTGGTCATGCCACTCATCATCAGATTGCCAGTAAAAATGCCTGCGCTATTCAAATATGTATGGAAGTCGAGAGTACTCAGAGGGAGAAGGGCCTAAAGAACGCGCTTAAACCAGCCCAGCTATGCAAAATGCGGCTGACCTAAGCATTTGTTTCATAGGTAGAGAAGCCCCTTGCCGACAACGGGCTTTTGTAAATTTTTGCTCTTTCTTAGCTTTTTTTTACTTTACCTTTTTTTGCTTTTATTCATAGATTCCGATTCTTTCATTTTACTTTTTTTCGTTTTTATTCATAAGCTCACGTTTGCTTTTATTTTCCTCTCTGTTGCTGTGTTGTTTCATTCTCTTTACTGCTATCTCCAGTCCTTGCCTCGAACTCCTGATTAGTATCCTTGTTCCCCTTCTCTATCCTGTCCTTAGTCCCTGTTTCCAGAGCGATATCTGGGCACCTATTAACCGCCATCCCTCAACCATGTCTTATTCCACGGCAAAATGCCGAACAGTGCCTACAAGTGATGCCACAAAACAGCGTTAGCAGAGAAGTTTGAGCGGTTCTTAATGGCAGCCGAGCCGAGTTTTAGCAACTGCCAGTTGCCCTCATAT